ACCCCCTCGGGGGTCGTTTTGGGGGCACCTCGGAGAGATCCCCCGGGGCAGAGGAGAGAAAAAATCCCATCAATCGCGTTTAAATGTAAATCTTTCATTTTATTTAACAAACACTATAATTTGAACTTCGAAGAATGTGTACTGAGGGAAAGAAAAATAATTTTCTTTTTTTGTTTTTTCTCTTCTCTTTACAAAAAAAAGAAAAAAACAGGATATAAGAAAAAACATATGTACAGGAAGAGCTGGCCAACTCAAACAGAAAGCAGTAACAGAAGCATGATGTTTCGAAACAGTGGCTTGGCCTGGAAAATTTAAGAGCAATTAAATTAATACACAAATATTAGAAAAAAAAAAAACAACAAAAAAACAAAAAAAATTGGACTCTAACGCTACTGTGCAGCCAGGGATGCGAGCCACAGAACTTTATACAGTAAAACTGAATTTTTCGAGCTCTACCCGGGTTTTTCTTTTTGTGTTTTAATCCCCTTGCCCACCCGCCGCCCCCATTGAAACCTGAAAAACATATTGCTTACACGCAAACAAACAAAAAAACAAAAAAAAACAAAAAAGAGAAGAAAAAGAAAAGTCTCTGTCAGAGAAATAAAGAGTTTCTCTGCGGGAGGAAGAGTAGGGGCAGCGGGAGAGTGAGACCCCGCTCCCTCCCGCTCCCCCTCCTGCCCACAGACCCCTGGGGGAGAAAGTTTGGGGTTGTTTTTTTTTAAACCCCACCCCACTTTGCCTTCAATTTTTCATTCGCTGAGACAAAATTGGGAGGGACAGGAGGGGCTGGGAGCGATGGGGGGCTGCCTCTGCCCACGAAGACCCCCCCCCTGTGCCGGGGCTCGGGGACCCCTCTCCCCCCACACGGGAGAGAGCAGGCAGGATTTGGAGAGGAAACCTCCAAACCCACCAGGACGAAGCTTTCCCGCTCCAAAGCGTTTTGAGGACAATTCTTTTGCTTTTGGGCAAGTCACTAACAAAGATTTCAAGCAGTTCTGGATGGACCTCAGTGGCTTTTCTCTTGAGGGACTGGCCAGGCTTTGCTTTTTCTCAAAACACAGGCAAAACGCCGTGGTTTTGGTTCTGCCGTTGCCCCCCCCGGGGTGCCCAGGGTGCCCAGAAAGGGGGCAGGAGGGTTTTGGGGGGCTCAGCACCCACGCTCAGAGCTCTGGGGGCTCGGTACCCCACAGCCCGACGCTGCTCAGGTGGGCCCTGGTGGGCAAGTGGCCGTGGCTCCTGCTTGCCACCCGTCCCGTGGGCACGGCGAGGGGCAGAGGCACCAGCCCCTTCCCTCTAAATGGTTAAATCTCATTTATGGGTGAGAAAAGTCAGCGAGGTCTGAAGGAAAAAGGCCCGTTCCCTCTAAATGGTTAAATCTCATCTGAGAAAAGTCAGCGAGGTCTGAAGGAAAAAACAAAAAAAAAAACCCAAAACAGAGGCGTTAGTGGGAGCAGCGGAGCCGCCCAGGCAAAGTTAATTATTACAAACCCCCCCAAATTCTCTAAGACAAAGTCAAAAAAAAAAAGGTTATTACTATTTGGAAAGTCAAAAAAAAAAAAAAAAAAAAAAAAAAAAAAGCAACATTTTTGCCACCAAGAGCATAGCAGTAGCTTCGGGTCTGGGGAGCAAAGTCTGGAAGGGAGAAGCATCTGTCACTGCCTCCCCCCCCCGGGGGCT